AATTACGGTTAAACATTATAAATCTTAGTAGAAAACTTATAAGAATGTAAACAAAATTTGTATTTATTATTGAAATCTCTATGAAATATCTGATAATTTGATGTACATATGACTAATAATCATTTTTGAACACGAAATGGATTTTTTTTAAAACTTCTTCATTAGATCTCCAAAAACTAATCAGCACGTCTTCCCAATAATAGACATCAAATGTCTTTTAGATTATTGAAATTGTGCGATCTATGCTCTCGAAATCTACAAAAATTTGTTTCCGCACATACATATACTCACACACACACAAACGCACATGCACAAATATACACATACATCTATTTTTTCTAAGGTATACCTAAATGTTCAGAAAATTTTGAAACGTAAAGATTATAATATAATGTAATAAATTTTTTTTATTACATTTTGAAAATGTTTTTCCAAAGCCATCGCGCTGCGTAGCTGTTTTAGGGACAAAAAAAATTTATTGGATCTCTGAAACCGCTGGATCTGCCTTCCCTAAAATTAAATAAGTTTTTTATTTCATCAATTTAATAAATGTTTTTTTGAATCATTCAAATCGGACGCTCCATTATCTGGCACTTTTACAGTAAAAACCGCCGAAAAAACAAAATATTTTGCCTACACTTATTTACTTTAGTTCATTTTTTCAGAATGTTAGAGAAAACTCACTACCTAAAATAAGATTTACAAAACCGATTTTGCAAAAAAAAACTTATTAAATTTGTATTTATTTGAAAGCCTTTTTACCATTCTCATAACGCAATTTTATAAATGTTTATCGTTGAACAAATGAGTGCCAAGTTCTTATTTTCACTCAATACAACGATAATTATTAAAATATAATTTGCATGTAATATTTACATAATAATAAATCCTTCTTCAAAAGTTTCTAAATTATATAGTGATTAACCACACCGAGCAAAAATAACACAAAAGCAGATTCATCGCAAAACTGCAGAATGTGTTACACATTTTAGTCCAGTCATTTGGTCGTTTTGCCGGTACAGTACTCCGGGAATTCTGAAAGTTGGTAATCTTATAGATTTCGAGGTGCTCTTCACGAAAATCAACTTTGCCACCTCAAATTTGAACGGCAAGTTGCCGCCATATTGGAAAAACAGCGTCAAAAACAGCTTTTTTAAAATATCTTCTTTTCGGCTCATTCTACGATAAAAGTATCTATGTACGAATTAAACTAGATAAAATTTCCTACAATTCTTTAGAAAACCGTTTTTATGTAAAATTGATAGTTTGAGAGTACGGCCGCCTCAAAGTCTTTGCTGCTCTCGCCGTAGTATCAAATCTCTCCATATATGACAGCACTTTGAACTTGACCATATTCTCTATGATAAATAAAAATTTTCAATGTTAAATTAAGCGAATAGGATCAAGAAATAAAATAATTTAAATAATTTTCTGTTTTTTTGCTGATTTTTTAACACTTCAAGCTACTTACTTATAGCTACTTTGCCATTGAAGTGTTAAAAAATCAGCAAAAAAACAGAAAAATATTTGAATTATTTTATTTCTAGCTCTTATTCACTTAATTTAGCATTGAAAATTTTTATTTACCATAGAAAATGTGGTCAAGTTCAAAGTGCTGTCATATATGGAGAGATTTGATACAACGGCGAGAGCAGCAAAGACTTTGAGGCGGCCGTACTCGATTTTTTTTCGAAAAATTAGATGTAAAATATGTTGGAGTAAAAATAACCCTTACCCTGTATCTATTACTGCATTCAATTAAAAGTATTAAATAAATTTTATAATAGACTAAAATGCCACGTAGTTAAGAAATATCATCATAACAGCTCATTAGATTTACTTCAAAATTTGTCCAAAAAAAATTACATAAGCAAGTATTGTGTTCAGATAAGAACTAATTGTTACCATGATCCACGTGCAATTTGAATGTTTTAGAATTCAAATCCTAGTTGCGCTAGATTAAGCATTAACGTTTATACGAAGTTTTATAAAAATTACCATTTTTATAAGTTTTCTTGCATAACAAGAAATGAAAAGTTAAAAGCTTTGATGAAGAAATGTTTGTTTAAGACTTTGAATAAATCAACGGTTCGCTTTATAGAACAGTGATGAAAAATTTACGACTACTGCTGTTGCAGCAAATCGAATAACTGATGCACGAAGTTCTTAGATTCTTAGATATTCTGCATACAAATTATGAAAAATCGAATTTACCTTCAAACTCTAATTTATAAGTTTGATTTATAACAATTGTACGATAAAAAATATTTAAAAACAACTATCACTACAGAGAATAGTAAAAGAAGAAAACTTGCAAGATATGTCATAATTGATCTGAAATATTTTGTAAGAATCTTATAAAAGAATTTAATTATATTTATTAAAATCTGGATTAATTTCTTTGAATTACAATTACATTTAAAAAACAGTAAAAACAGGCTATATTATCATCTTATAACTATCACCTGGCACAACAAAGATTCAATTTTAAGAGTTAAAAGCAATAGTCAAGTCAAAAAAAAACTTCTAATTTTCAAGTGAAATTTAGTGGATATAATAACCTTTATGATTATTATCATGACACATAGGTTACGATCTGTTGGATATTTAGTTATTTTTAAAATATAACTTTTTGACTGTTTAGCTAGATTTGACTAATGGGTTAAAACATTAGGTTTGCAACTAATGTAAGTTCAGCATTAAAAAATAAAAAAGGCAGTGTCAAAATTGGTTCGTCAAATTTCGTTTTGGTGATATGTTAATCATAGATAAAAAAACGCTCTGGTCGACTAGTTGAAGTTGAATTGTCCACTTTAAACTGTTATCACCAATGAAACGATAAATTCTGATCTACATTAAACAACAAAAATGAACAATGTAGTTGAAAAAGTGGTTTGATGTTGCAAATTGAAACGGTGAATTATTCCATTATTGACGTAACATCCTAGCCAAAATTATTGGACTTGCTCGAGATGTTTTGTCACATCTATCATATAGTCCTGACCTTACACCATCTAATTACTTTTAGTTTCAATTTTTAAAAACTTCTTGAATTTAAAAAAAATCAATGACGTTGATGTTATTAAATTATACTTGATTCTGTTGATTCTGTTTTGTTTTGCTAACAAAAACCAGAAGTTAATGTTTGAAATATCACAAAAAGAAAGGTAACCATATGTCCCGGTTTGGCCGGGACAGTCCCGGAATTCCATCTTGTGTCCCGGGTTTTTCTAAAAGCAAACTTTGTTCCAGATTAAAATATTTTATCAAGGATTGTCTCGGGTTTTCGTAAAGTATAGGTTTGAATTGAATCATAGCAATCACAAATTACAACTACCCATCAAACATCTGAAAATGATATAAAAAATTTACAAATGCAATATTCGAAAAGGTAGTTGAAATGGCCCTCATATTTTCAATTTTAAACTTTCATTTACAATTTTATGAGTATTAGCACAAATAATGAAAAGGAGTTTTTTGATTGCCTGGCACAAGTGCTAATTTTTACTAAATTAATCATGAAAAAAATTTAACAGAATTTTATACCAGGCGTATTTTATTTTATCCCTAAATAGTATTTGCTATTTTAAATCATATTTTAATCTCCTTCCCCAATTATCATAACTACAAGTTGCTGTGCCGGTTTAGGCATAAAAATGGTCACCCACAAAAAGTCAGTGATAAAGTTAATAGACTATGCATTTCAGAATAAAATTATTTAATTCCTTGAAAAGGATGTTTGATTTTCTAATAAAAACCTGCACTTACTTAGTTGTCAACCTAATAAATTTGAACTTCCAAAAATCAACGCTAGAAATATTAAACATAATTTGTGTTGAATTAATAAAACACATTTTCGTGTAGATAAAGATTTAAATATATTTATTAAAATCCATTATATTTTTATAATCATTTAAAATTTTGCGAAACTATGTACAAAAGTAAGAAAATCACATTAGCAAAATTACTGCTTTTATATAATATATATTTAACAAATCTTTCAATGGCGAAAAATTTGTCTCACATCAGGAATGAAATGACAAATGGGATCACAATTATAATTTTTCACAACGAAATTTTGTGGTCCACCTATCACGTTCACGAAATCGAATCATTGACGAAATATTTCGACGAAATCCGTCCTCTTCCAAAACAAATAAGCGGCAGCGGGATCAACCTGTTGCTCACGGCAACTTTTCATATTAGCACAGACATTATGAGGGCGCGATATGTTCGAAATCTTTGATTTGCTACTTATTTGTTTTCCATCATTCGATATCATTATTTAATTATTACGGCTAAAGACTTATAATTAAAAGTATTTTAAAATTTATAAAATTTGTGAGAATATATACGTTTTGTTGCTTAATAATACGAGCAAAATTAATTGTGCATGACAAATATATTTAATACGTTTATGTATATAAAAGGCTAAGACGCTCGAATATTTGTGGACAGTATGAAGAGTGAGTAAGTAAATTAGAAACCGCTTCTCACCAATTAGTTCTTATTGGAACTCACTAATTATGTATTAAATGTAGAAAAGCTTATAGTGATATACATAACTTCAGTGTTTCATTTAAATTCTCTTATTAAATATTCGATCAAAATACTGAAAGTTGTACATTAAAATTGCACTAAAAAGCACCATATCTTATAATAACTAATTGCACGATAATTCGACAGGTAAACAATTTTGTTCGCAACAAAATTTTAATATGTTCCCTTATCTCCAATTTACTACGCAAAATATTATTCAATAGTTTAAAGTTTGAAAACTATGCTTTAAAAACGCAAGAGCATATTACACTTTTCGAGAACAATGTAAAAAAAATTATTTAAACTCGAATTATCTAATAAATAATTATCACTACTTAAATTGCTTGAATAAATCGATAGATTTATAATAATTAACGTTACTATTACTGCTATAATATCCTCCAATCTAAGAAAATAGTCTAGAATAGATTAGCATTGTACTAAGATATACCTATGTTTAGAGGAAATTCTTAAGCGATGATGATTATAGATATATGGAATGTGCTACTAGTTCAGCAAACTTAAAACACAGAAATCACAAATTAAATACTAGAATATTCAGCCTTAGCGTTTAAGATCACACAAGAGTCTCGTCCAACGAAAATGTTGGACGATTTTTCTTCACAGCAACACGCGAGTGAAGTTTATATGCGAGAAGATCGTGCGTTAAAACCTTACATATTTGCATCAATATTACGTTTAAATTTATGCATCACATATACTATATATTTAGGTAGTTATATTAAAAAGTGATGAAGTAGCGCTAGAGACCACTTGTATATGTTTAGAAAATAGGCGAATTCAAAATGTTATTTGCATCATATTACACAACTACTGTAATATCGGATCATTCGAAATTGCGATTGGTTATGATTTAAAAAAAAATCCGAAGCCTTCGAACGATGAATTATGAAATTATCAATACACGAGTAAAGAGTTCGTTCAGACGCTGTTTGTGTATTATGCTCAAATAACATTCTGAATTTGCATTATAAGTTCACTTATCAATTGATACATATTGAGTATTACAGATATAAATTTGCGCACAGCACGATTATATATGTTTGATAAATATCTTAATATAAATGAGAGCGTGCATTTTAATAACACCAAATCGACAAAACATCGAGCTGATCCGTTTCTTAAACCGACAAGCCGGCAGGATATCCGTTTTTGAGCAGTAGCTTAGTATCCGAAGGCGACACGGGACTCAGATTCGAAGTGACAAAGCTTCTGGAATCTGGTGTTGTTTCCTCCAAAATTTGTTCAAGTACAAGTGGTTGTGGATCCAAGCGTGGACTTGTGGGGCCCACCGGGGTCAAGTCGGCGCCAGAAAGATCAGCTGCGCTACTATTCAGGTCCTTCAGAGCATTTTGGGCTCTTCTAGCATGTCTGGTTGTCAATACCCCGGTTTCCACATCTCTTTCTAGTCTATGACCTGATCTCGAACGCGTCAGTTGACGCTGGACATAATCTTCCAAATCTTCTTCTTCTCGTCTCGATAAGAACTTATTGAGAATAATCAAAAACACTCCGAGTACAACGGCGAACAGACCAGTGCACACTAATTCATTCCACCAACCGTGCCCCCATGCAGAAGGATCGTTCCACTCCGTGATATCTTCTGGCAGAATTCCAGCTCCAAGAAGAAAGATTCCCAAGACTAAGAACACGACTCCGATGTGTAGCATTCCAATACTGGATACCCCTGGCGACTCGGAGCTTCTACCGCGGCCTCTGCGGGCCTCGAGGCGCTCGGCGCTGGCCAGGGGCGAGTGGCTTGGAGACGTGAAGCCACTTTCGGTGGACTGCACGCTGAAGCGTCGGTCCCTGGCTCGCCTTTGCTCATCTCGTCGTTTGCGCTGCCGCTTGATGGCCAAAGCCGAATGTACGCCCATGGCATGCATCCTGCGAACAAATTACACACACACTCTTTCGGTTCTTGTTGATTTCTTCTCTTCCTAATATATCACCGTGCGCACCCGCCGGGACCCCGCACTTCATGCATTCAACAGTTGGTTGGATCTAATGTTTACGATACTGCAATGCGATCATAGATGTTGCAGAATAAAAATTTAATGAACAGTTTTCGAACTACAAAACTAAACTTTACTGCTAGTATAGTAAAACAAGAACAGAGCAGTTCCAAAATTCTTGTTTAATTCAAAAGTGAACTAATTAAGTTATCACCACAATTATCCTGCAGAAAAACGAATCAGCTCGTGTTTGTAAACAAATATGGCGACCCCGCAACAGGACGCTAGCCATGACATGTATTTAACAGGGCATGCAATCGCGCACACGCATTTAACTAACTACTACAAAATTTGAGTGTGTGTGTGTGTAAATTTTATGTAGACCGCGTTTTTTTTTTGTTATTTATCTTACAACGCACGGGGGGACCTAGCGGGTGTGTCGGGTTCATCGACTTACCTGGCTGAGTAATTTTTTTAACCAACGATCGAAGCGGTCCTGATCGTGATCAGGACACAGTCGATTGGTCCGGTTGATTTTTGTTGAACAGAAAATTTCACCGCGCTATATTCCAAATTGGCATCGTTTTATCAGAGCACTTGCACTCTGCGGAAGCACCGGCTACGTGTTTTCAAGCATGCACTGATTGAAATGCGCGCGGGCACTGGCACAGGTTTAAATTAATGGCACGTTCTTAGTTGCGGTTATTGAAAATGTTAACTATCTGATGAACGCTCTCCGGCGAAACCGCACACACTGTAGCTGTCATTGCACTGTACTGACTGATACAATTTACTTCGTTTTTGCGCGATGTAGCTGCCCCCAGTTCTATATTTTACGAATAGTGATGTAACGCTATGACGTGTCGAAGTTACTGCAGTGTCATCATTCAAACGGTCTGCATTTAGGAAAGCGCATTCGATACCAAATCATCTATCAAGGCTCGCAAAACGAACAACAATTAATGGTGGTCTAATGTGTTAAATATTGTTAATAACTATGTGGTAAAATAAACTAATTTCACTGGAAATGGTAATCTAAAATTAATCTATAGAACATGCAGCATTATAAATTTGATATATTTAAAAAACAATAATATTAAGTATTATTAATTAGGAAGAGTTGATCGAATTTCTTCGACTTTCCACTCATTTTTCCAGCACGCCACAAATCGAGGAGAGAGATCTTTTGCAAACCGTTGCGCGCGCAGGCGGCGTACTGTATTGATCATTCGCATTTGAACTTAACCGGGTTCGAAAATTCAACTGTTTTGCGCTTGTTATCCTTTTTGATGCAACCGGAATTGCAGATTATTTATGCAACCTTAGAATAATAGTAATAAGAATGCACATAACTTCCCGCAGGGTAAGTTATAGTAATCGCAAAAAAATCAAAAATGATTTTTTTATATATATTCACGTTTCAAAACCTACTGAACATTCTGGCACACATTACAAAAAACGATTCTGTGTGTATGTATGTGCGGATACAATTTTTAGTGGACGATTTTAAGATCAACACAGACACATATCAACCGATTGGAATGATTCAAAATGCGTTCGATGTATGTGCGGATACAATTTTTAGTCAACGATTTTAAGACACATATCAACCGATTTGAATGATTCAAAAAGCGTTCGATTCCTATTGATAAGGAAACCTGCTGGTTAGTTTCCAGGTCCAGCCGTTTTCAAGATACGGGGCAGAAAATGTCAAAAATGGAAAATTCAGTTTTTGAAAAAACGGAGTGTCCGATTTCAAGAATTAAAAACGTTTACTTGCATTGACGAAATGAACTGATTTTACATTATTGGAGTGACAAGTCCAGTGGTTTCGGATATCCAATAAAAAAGTTTAAAAAGTATAACATTTGGCGGTCAAAAATGATCATTAGACATATTTACTTCAAATTAACAAATATTTTATAGTATAATAAGTACACATTTTATTTACATTTCCATGGGTGCCGTACCAAGATTTACAATAATTAAACGTTTAAACTGCAACGCGATTCATGATTCCGTCTCTTATTTAAAAGCTACTAGAAAAAATCTAAATTTAAAAAAAAATGAAATATAAAAATAAAAGTTTCAAAAATTTTAAAATTCTCAGAATCTATTTTTTTTTTAAATTTTCAAAAAATATTAAAGCTTTTTTAAAGGATTTAATTTTCGATGCGGGAAATTCCAGCAATTTAATTTAAGGCACGATACCATGCACTACTAGATATATGTGTGTTCCTATAGATTTCTTACGTGCATTTCAGTGAGACACATTTTCGCATAAATAATTTTCGGTAAATAATATTCGGTGTTATATCTATATTTTAGATTTACATGAAATCAACATTTGGTGTTAGTTTGAAATATTATCATAACAGTTGTTTGCAAATATTGGTTTAGATATAAATTGTATATAAATGAAACATTAATTATGAAATTAAAATTTATTACTTGTTTTAATTAAAACAAATATTTAGTATATTAAAATATTTTGATCACCCGGCTTCATTAGAGAAGGAATGCATAGACTTCAGTAATTTGGATAACAAATTTTGGAATTTTAAAACAAGTACGAGCAAGAACGTTAAATTTTTTCATTGTCACACGTTCCAATGATCGAATATAATCGAAGTATATTAACTAAAGCAAAAATATTAATTATATGTAGTTATATATATATATATATATATATATATATTATACATTATTATTTATAATATGACTAGTTCAATATTTACAACCGTGCACCAATGTTGGTTAAATTTTTTGTAGTTCGCGAATTTATCGTACTGCATTTGTAAAATAATTTCATGATCATCTAAAAGAATAATAATATTCAGCCCAACGTCAAATATTAAATAATTAACTCGCACGTTGTGAATAATGACCGCCCTAACAAATTCCCGTCAATTTCACAAAAAGTATAACAGATATTCGTACAATTGAGAATTTACATCGAGGCAATATTCCAGGCAGATATACATGTGTTCAGAATATAAATACAAATTTATTTGGCAATACAGCCGGTATCTTTCTCTCATTTTCACATAAAAAATTGATTGCTTTCATGGAAACCAGGGATGGAAATAATGCTTATTAAATCCATGATTCAAAATGCATATCTGATGGATCTTTTGAATAAAGAATATGAATAATTCCGTAACAAATATGTTTTTGGTCGTTTAAAGTTTGGTATGTTTGAAATTGTCAATATTTTGTTTTTGAAAGTTAGTATTGTAATTAAAATAATTGTATTGATTTTGTTGGTTCGATCCTACTTTAAGCAGCCTATTGTCCAGCAGTAGTGACAAAGATTTTTAATTGCAAGTATGATTGGCAATATGTTTCCATGTAAAAATAGCCCTGTTTCACCCTATTGCAGAAATTGTAATAATATTTTATTATACAGGAATGGGACAACTGTTTGGGTTGCCATCTGTAGAAGCGACTAGTATTAAGTATAGTATTAGGTCAAATCAGCAAAACAGCTTAAAGGACTCATATTCTGGTTGCAGTTCAAAAATAATATTAAAAAAATTGATTGTTATATATTCTAATTGAATTAATGTAAAGCAATACCAAAGTCCAGACAATCGCAAATATTGAATTGGCCAAGACTTCGTGGGAACAACCTGGATCAGTGACCATGTATCAAAATACAATTGAGTAATGGTTTCTTACGTAAGAGAAAAAAAAAGAAAACTTTCATTCAAGCAGATGTACTTTTTTTAGTCTCTTTCGTAAATTAACAGACAAAGGATTTTTCTATTATTTACTGGGATGGGAAGTCAACCTTTATTTGTGTCTAATTAATTAATTGTGACATTAAATGTAATAATTTCAGGAATCTAATAGATTTTTACTATTGATTTCAATCAATTATTGATAATTTATGTAATAATATGATTAGATATCAACAACGTAGAAGGCAAAATAGAAAGACTGAAAGGATTGGGAAGAAGAAAAATGCAGATGGTTGATGACTTACGCGAGAAGATAAAATACAGAAAAGTGAAAGCCGAAGCGCAGGACCAGGAATCATGGGAAAATTCATAAAAACAAACATAAAGTTATTAATGGTCATTAATTGAGAGTAATAAAACTGTAATGGAAATAATAAACAAGGGAGGGAAAGAAATTCATTGATTTTGTGCTGCTCTCATACCATGGACCTGTCTTCGGGCAGACTACTATTTATTATTACCAATAACGGTCTCGCTCAGAAGTAAGTGACTAAAAAGACTGGACCTGAATCAGAAGTTCTAACTTGTATAAAGCAACAATAACAATTTCACTTGACTTGCATTTCATTTTTTAACATTTTTAATTACAATCTGTCACACTTAGGATATTCAGTAAATGTTTTGACTTTAGTATACAGATTTTTGAATGGATGGCAACCCAATAGAGTTGTCTAATCCAATTATTACTACTTAACTATTCTCAAAGTATTTGCCAACATTTTTTTCACTAGAAAAAATATATAGCAATATGTTTACAAGTGAAAATAACCCGGATCCAGCATTGCGGCATAAATAAATATTCGTCCAATTACAGACATTGTAATAATAATCACAAAGAGACAAGACAACTGCGATGCCATCTGTAGAACCAAAAAGAATTAAGTCAAATTAGCACAGCAGCTTATAGGACTCTTAAGATCTAGAATGGATTTGTGCCTAACAAGTGATATTTCATCCGACTTTTGTCATTGCATACTTTGTGATATCATCAAATTTTTCAGAAAATATAAAACTCTAGTTTAGTAACAAATAGTCCTTTTATTTTTTCAAAGTTTCTGTAACATAAGTACCTAACAAAAGTACAAAAATCTGCATGTACGCCTCGGAGGCGTCAGATACCGTTCCAGGGTTAATCTCTGATTAACAAGCAGAAAGTTTTTTGAATTCTTTAAATCGGATGCTTATTACTCTCAAAAACTGCCATTTTTTGTTTGCTCGGTATCTTCAAAATAGCTTGACCTGCCTTTGCCAAAAACTAATCACCACTTCACCCATCATTACAAATTGAATGTTTTTTAGATCATTCAAATCGGATGCTTTGTTCTCTCAAAAACTCGATTTTTATTTTATGCACTCTTTACTCCTTATCTCTGTAACGGCTAGACCTGCCTTTACCAAAAACTAATCAGCACATCTTCTATCAATAAGAATCGAATGTTTTTTAAACCATTCAAACCGGTTGATCCGTGCATTCGAAAACGTGAACGAAAAAAAATGCGGACACAAACATAATGTAATTGTTGGTTGGGACAATGTATTTTGAACAATGTATTATATCATATTATATACGACATTGAATCATAGTTTTCATGGTTATATGAAAACTTCATTGTTTTTCATTACGGAACTCTTTCAAAATATTCACCGAGAGAACCAGTAAAAAATGTATTGAAATAAATAAAATAAACATGGAACAAGACCCTATTGACAATACAAGCAAGTAGTTCTAGTAACTACATACCGCTAAGAAATATGGTCATCCTTTATTTTTCCGTGAATGTTTCCGCGCACGCAAAGCATATTGCAGCATTGCAATGCCACATGGAACAACTCCCTTGATATTCGATCCTATTATCGACACTGTCACGGCATATTGCTAACAGTCAGTTAGATCCGTCATTAAAATCTTCGATTATATGAGCGATGGAATTTTCCGTGTTTCAGCAGATTACTTTTCAACCGTATTTCAATATTTTTATGATTTCAAAAATAAAAACTTAAAAAATATAGGCATTAATAAATTTTTGCCTCAACGCAAACTACAT